TTCCCCGAAGAATTAAAAGCCTATGCTTTGTTGTGTGTAATTTGAATACCAAATTACTGATTGCATATGTTTATATTCAGTTGTACAGTCAAGCTAGAGAAGAAAAATGGAATTGCCACTATAAAAATCTATGCTTCAACTGATTTTCAGAGAAGAAATTAAGTGTTGAACTAAATTTAGTTTGCTTGTATTGGGAAAAAGTTACACAGCTTTAACTATTTTCTTACATTAATCCCCTGATTGGAATTATTTTTTTTCCTGCAGGTTTGATTTTCCCAGTGAAATAAGTAAAGCTTATACTTAAATAGACTATGTAATATATACTAATTAGTATCCTAGGTGGATGTTTTTACTTTCAGATATTCAAACTACCCCACAAAGCCAATGTGTTTACTTGCTTTGGATACAATGCAACAGTAGGAAGATCATTGCAAAATATAAATGATGGCTTGTAGGAAACATAAATAATACTTCAATGGGCATAGCAATGTAAAAGTATATTTGTGTTTGCAAATTAGTTCAAAGCTAATGCACAACTAATTTGAGGAAAATATAAGTGAGCAGACCATGAGCAAGTAAGTTGATGATAGGAGTGACAGAAATTTCTATCTATAGACTTTAGGCCATAAAGCTAGAATAAAATTCCTTTTTCCTTCTTTGTGTATTCTTTTTGTTTTTATATCTAGTTAATAAAAGAATGGGGGACACTACAATAAACTTGTTAAGTGAATTGTAGGTGATTGGTGGCACAAATTGAATTAGTTAAACTTCCTGTTCTTCCCTGGGCCCTAGAGCGCTACCCATTAGTAAAACACACACACACACACACACACACAGGTATAGGTATTTCTGAGCAGTGTGGGCCACTTGCCTATTGTAACTTTGAAGCTAAAGTCTTTTCTTTCTCACACACAATCCCTTTCTTTTTAAACACACGGACCTTTTCAATTTAATCCATTAGCAAGTTGGCAAAATAAAGTAATTGTCCAACGGAGAAAAGGGAGAGAAATCTATTAACATTTGTTACAAATCTGAGTAGTACAGGCAGCACTTAATTAATGGAACAGATTTCTTACTATTTATTCAAGCTTACACAGTCATTGTTCAGAAGAGATTAGACTCTTAATGTAAGTAAGTTAAACTAGACCTCCATCTAAAAATATCCGTCATTTCAGTTATTAAGGGGCTGATGTCTTATTTGGTGAAAGATATATTTTCCTTCATTTCCTTGGTCTTGTAAAATGTAAAGTATGCATTGTGTGTAATACGAGAAATCCACCGAGGTAGATGAAACCTAGATTGTGGCTCCGAGCCTGTCTGCTTGTGCTTTTCCCTCTTTGTGCTGCCTGTGTCACAGAGCCTCTTCAGCCCATAGACCTCCTGGCACCAGAGTGAAAAAAAACCCCACCATGCCATTTGTCAGGGTGTGATGCCAGCAACTACCTAATCAGTTTGCAGAATAAGGGCCTTGGGATTTGATTAAGTAATTTAAATACCTAGCAGTATTACCTGAGCTGCTTTTGGCTGGCAGCCCATGATTCCACTTGGTTAACTACCTACCATATTTTTTTTTTCTATTTCCCAGCTACAAATGCCTTGGAGATAATTCTCTGCTCGAAATGATACAAATTTGCAAGCAAAATGCTCTTTGGCTTCTATTTCTTCTCTTTTTTTCCCTCCAAAGTTTAATATGATTATGCTTTTGTAAAGCTTGGTTCCCCTGTCTTTTTTTCTTCTTTTTCTTTGCTCTGTCTGCTCCTTCTCCATGTAAAGCAGTGTTGAATGAGTGATTATAATTGTATAGTTGTTCTGATGCTGTTTTAATGGTTACCGCTGGGAATAATTTAATTTTCTGTTTTTAAACATTTAAATACAGTGGTACCATGCTTTAGTTTGTTTCCAAAAGTTAGGGTACACAAGGCTGGAATGTAATGCCTCTGCACAGTTCTTTAATGCAGCACGGCCTTGTTTCCAAATTGTCTCATGATTCTGTGAGAAGACACTGCTGCTTTAATGAGATGGAGGCAGGTGCTATGCTTGTGCTTTTGCATGCTCTGAAGTATTTGTTTGGAACTGAGTAGAAACTACTTTGTAGTCCTGTTTAAGGCTTATAGAGCTTCCTGTGTAAACATCCTTACAAAGCTGAGCATCTCCTTCCTATAAAGGTTCTTTTTCTTCATACAAAGAATATTCACCGGTGTAAATCAGTAGTTAGGAATCATAATAGATAAGAGTTAATACAGTATAATGGAAATACAGACTGGGGGGTTTGGTTTTTTTAATTTACTTTTAAGAAGGAGTGGGCTTTTGGGAGGATTTGATCAATAGATTTTGTTGCAAATTGCTTTGAATATTTGGAAAAGTAAGAAGTATATAAATATCTCTATATAAATTTATTTATTTATTTGTGTATTCAGTCAAATTTTCCCCATCACAATCAGATTAGTCTCACAACAGTAGTATACATAACTGTTCACATTTCAAGCAAACATTATAACTTAGTTATACAAATAATTATATGATGGATGAATAGATAGATGGATGGGATGGATGGATGATTATGTTACACACACACACACACACCTCTAATATTCACATGTGAGAACTGGCTTAATCAGAATAAATGGATCCTAACACATTTGTATTGTTTCTTGGTTTTAAAAGTTTTAACAATTTAAACCATTCAGAATTGGAGTCAGGTGGTATCAATTTAATACATTATTGTTATTAATATATATTAATATTGAGGTAGTCTACCTACACTTTGCATGAAATATGACACTCCTGATAAAGTTCTAGGTAAATAAGTTGCTTTAACAAGGGTATACTGCTTTATGTTGCGTCCTAATTCCACATCCATTGTGTACAGCTACATGCTGCCAAGTATTTGAGATTATTTTTAGTCACAATTGAAAATAATGTTTTAGCTGTATTGGCCTGCACAACAATTCTTTAAGAGTGAGGTGACTGGATTAAGTAAGAAGATAAAGTAAACATACATCTGGCCAAACTAGCTTGCAAAGATAGCATATATAGCAACAGCAGCAGCAACAACAACAACAACACCCTCCTCCCCACATACATTTGGGCCTGACTCTGCTGGCATTTCATAAGTCTTTGAAGACCGAGAGGGTGAGTGAGCCTCTAGGTGTTTTTTTCTTTTACTTTTCTTTTAAAAAATAATCATTTCTAAAGCAGAGAAACAAGATTGAACAAACAAGGAAAGGGAGAAATGTGGTATTTATAAGTGGACAGAGGAGTTACCAGGATTCTACAGTTAGCATTCAGTGTATCTTTGGTTAGAAATTTGCCTTAGAAAAAATTAAATTACATCTAAATATATTAAATTATTGACTAAAATAAGTATTTAAATCTCTGAGCTAAGTGCTTAAAATCTCCAGTGTTTCTTCTTTAAACAATACAAAAAGAAACCTACTAAAACATTGCAGTTAAATATTATAATGGTTTGCTAAAATACACGGAGAAGCCTTTTTGATAGGCCATATTAGGGTATGTGTGATTATGAAGCCCTGTTCAAATGTTAAACAACTTATTTGGAGTATACAACAATCTATAAAAACATTATCTTTTACATTGTTGGGATGAAATATTTCCCCCAGCTCTTATAAACTCATATAAGAAGCTTTCACACTTCTGAATATGGACATAAGGCATTATCTGCCCTCTTGACAGAACCGCATAATACATATAGAACTGATTACTTCATTTTCATTAGTAAACGTATCGAATCTAATATCTTTTTTTAAAAAAAAAATCTTGGTGACTTGAAATGCTGCAATTTGAAAAAGTTTGTAAAAAAAGAAAAAAATGTTTAGATCTTACTTAACAGCTGATCTGAAGATTATTTCACCAGTTAAGCTGATAATACCAACAAAGGAGAGCAGCAGTCAATTATAATAACCAGACCAATAATTCCTTATACTAAGTTTGCTGTTTTAACATTTTACATTTTAAGTAATGTAGCTTTTGTCAAATTAACTCAGAACCATATCTTGAATGTCCACATTAAAATTCACTATGTTGACTGGCTATTCAACTTTTCTAGCAATATTTACTTTCCCTCTTGCAAAATCGTGCTTGAAACAGGTAGGGATTTGACTCACATGATCATATTTCATAAGGTAGGGAACTATGAGGAAGTGTTGACTCATATCTTAAATATTAGGAAGAAAAAGGACTACATTTCTTGTCCTGTTTCTTCTCCGTTAGGCCTTTGTAATATGCTGGCCCTTTAGGTTGTCTGCAGTGGAACAGATCACCTGTGCATGTAGACGACCTGTCTCCAGTAAATCATAAACATCTCAATCTTATTGTTGAGCCATGTTATAAGAAACTGTCTCTGTATTTCAATATGAGAGGAGAGAAACTGATTAAGTGTTTGAGATAAGGTTATGTGACACCACAGGTTAGAAATACCTGAGCTAAAATTGGCTTACTTCCCAATACCTACATTTGCAGAATATGTAGCCAGGTGGGACTGAATATGCTTTTAAGGAAATCTCTGCTAGCAACTTGGCCAAAACATTGCCAAGCTCTGAATAGCAGTTACTGTTTTTGTTTTGATTCAGATTACCCATGCTCCCCACATATTAATCTCAAATGTAACAAGTTAAATAAAGACATTTAAAAGAAAGGTTCTTGAGTAGCATATGTTATTTTAATCTTTATTCGCCAATAAAATGTTTGAAGTTAAAAAAAATAATTCTCCTTAATGTCACCACTTAAATATAAACTATCCTATATATAAGGTAGGCAATCTGTATTCAGAAAGTTGACATATTTATCCTGCAGATCAATGGTAATAGATGGTAGATTTGTCCATTTTCCTGGGTTTTCTGCAGTGCTGTTCTTGCTATGGATGCTGTGGAATCCTGCAAACAATTTGGATATGGAGCTTACATCCAAACCACTGTAAGATTTTGAGATGGTTGCCTGGAGATGTTTCCTTTCTAATACGTTTTTTTAAAAAATCTTTTCAGATGGGGTGAAGCCAGAAACAAAGGCACTTCTGACTGCCATTTCTAAGAAGAAGCCCAAGGCAGGGAGGGGAGATTCAGCAAAAGAGGATGAAAGTAACAAGGTGGACTTTGCCCAACCTGTTCATATCACTCTTCTTTTTAAAAGATACGTCTTTGATTCACAGAAAAAAATGATTCAGTCTTGAGCTATGTTTGAAGTCTTAAAGACTGAACACCAAAATGACTTGATGACGGGTTCCATACATTGTTCACATACTCTTTCTCTCTCTCTCCCCTTCTCCCCCTCTGTCATGCTTTCCAGTTCCAGGCTGTTGTGCTATAGGTACAGGTACATGATACTTTTTTGCAGTTGGTAGAAAGGGTTTCATGTTAATATATTCAATGTAAACTTTTTCATATTTTTGATAATCACATATTATTATTGAATCAATAAACAAAATAAATGGAAACCTTGATGAAAAGTGAAATGCAAATACTTACATCTGAAATTAAATTGTTTACATTCTTATATGTTCAAGAATACAAATACACTAGTTATAGGGCAGGGATTATTTTGTGAGTGAAGTTTGTATTTTGAATATTATTTTAACTGGCTTCAGTTTCAAAACATCTTCAGGGATGTACATAATTTCATGGCATATCATTAACTTTGCTGTTTCATGGTTCATAATGGCTTTTGAATAAATGTTTGCATGACACCTATCTAAATGTGAAATTCATCTTTCTTTTTTTCTCTCCCCATTCCAAAAAAATTGAGAGAAGAATAAAATCTCTCTGGTCATTTCCCTGAATAAAATAAATACTATTCAACATCACAGAAACATCTTCATGTTTATTACCAAAATAACAAATTATTAAAAGTTTTTTTTCACTTGTTTATTAGTTTTATTTTGCTGAAACAATAGTAAACTATACTTACAAAATTTATTAAGTCCCATGCTCGCTTCGGCAGCACATATACTAAAACTTATTAAGTCCCAGTTTCAGTACCCCTTTTCTCTCCCCATACAAAATCACTTATTCTCTAGCAAAACCAAAAATTGGAAAAGAAAATCCAAGATCAAAAATATTTAGAGAGTGGAGCAAGGTCAGTGTTTTAGGCTTTGGAGTCTACTGAATATTAACTGAATATTGGAGGATTTATCTGTATAGTCCAGGATAGATCCCAGAAGGTGGATTTTTTTGTTGCCCATTAAACTTAGGAGCATTAGTTATCATAATTTACATACTTTCTTAGAGTTTTGCCAATTTAAGAAATGAGAGCTAATTTCTAATAACTGCTACATATGAAATTATTTACATTACTTAAATTCATTTCTCAATGTTTTGTATATTTGTGACGGGGAAAATTTCACGCATAAACTGGGAAAGCTAGATTAATGTAATGTCAAGTATAGCTACAAAGAAGTTTGGCAAATTTCTTACACGTTTGTTCAAATTTTTTTTGAAGATTTGTGCCACAGACCTTAAGCAAATTTTCTTTTTAACCATTATTTGTTGAACAAATTTTGCAAATGAGTATAGTGATCATGATGTGTTATTCAGAAAATGAATTCCCAAATTCTTTTTCCTTTGTGCCTGGAGCCAATAAACAGATAAAATGTCCTAGGAGCAATAAAGACAGTTTGGGATGTTTATATGATTGCTATTTATTGTGACTTTTTTTTCTAGTTGTTTGGGGGGGGGCTGGTAATGTATAGAGTGGTCTTTTTTACCACTTTTTACTCCACCTTTTATTCAAAAGGTCACAGTCCTATATTTTTCCTCTGATGACATAATCTTAAAACCTTAACCTAAACTTAAAATTATATAAGGTATTGCCATAGGTTGACTGGACTGTTTCAAAAAGTAAAGTAAGGTATAAATATAATACATAAATAAAATAGTAATAGAGACAAGGATGGATTTCAGATAAAAGCAAGAAAGCTCTCCTGAATATTAAGAGCTATTCCATTTTCAATTGCTCTACATGATGAAAGACTTGATAGGGAGACTATAGGGAAAAAATCTGGAAATGAGGAATTCCATATTGTAGCCTTGCAGCATGACAGATTTTGCTATCTAATCTAACTTGGTTTGGATTCTTTTAAAGCAATGGACGCCTTTAAATCATTACCTAAAGCTTGAGTGATAAACTTGGGTGATTTCTGCTGAGTGAGTTCCAGCTGAACTTTTAGTTACAACCCCTAGAATTATGGGCTATACTTTCAGTATAATCTATAAGTAATTCAACATTTAGTTATTGAATGAGTAGCTTCTGCTATTCAGAGGTACAGAAATAAAAGTTGTAGAGGAAAATAGACATTTTATTTTCATATCAGAAGCCTTCCCAGCAATCTTCATTGTTTGCCAGGTGACCCAGATGGGATTATAATTTCCATTACCCCACTGCTTCTAATCTTTTTTTTTCTTCAAAATGCATAAATAGCCTTTTTAATAGAGTTTTCATATATGCATATGCCTGAACATAGAAAAGTGAGCATGTGCGTGTATTGTCAATAATACCCGCAACCAGTGGTGGGATTCAAATATGTGAGCAACCGGTTCTCTGTGTGGATGCCACTTCCGGAAGTCCATTCTAGGCCTGGGCAACAAAAAATTAGCTACCAGTTCTGCCGAAGTGGTGCAAACCGGCTGAATTCCACCACTGCCCACAACCCTTTTTTCATGCCAGTATCTTTATGTACCAATTAAAAGTGTAATACAAGTAGTCCTCAACTTATGACCACAAACGAGCCCATAATTTCTGTTGCTAGGCCAGACAGTTATTGAGTTTCCCCCCCATTTTATGACCTTTCTTCCCACCGTTGTTAAGTGAATCATTGCAATTGTTAAGTTAGTTAAATGAATCTGGCTTCCCCATTGACTTTGTTTGTCAGAAGATTGCAAAAAGTGATCATATGACCCCAGGGCACTGCAACCGTCATAAATACGAGTCAGTTGCCAAGTGCCTGACTTTTGATCACCTGACCCATGGAGATGCTGCAACAGTCATAAGCGTGAAAACAGTCATAAGTCGCTTTTTCAGTGCCGTTGTAACTTCAAATAACCACTAAACAACTTGTTGTAAGTTGAGGACTACCTGTATTTCATTATATGTTGCTCAGAGAACATACGTTGGGCAGCAAAATATATATTTTAAAACATGTTCCTGGGACAACAATGGTTTAAATCTCCAGCCCACTTAAATGTAAGTCTTTGACTCTCTTATCCAATTGTAACCTAGTTGTGGAAAATGGTTGCTAACCTAGCCAGCAATTATAAGATAAAGATAGAAGGAACTGAAAGAGAATCAGGTATTCCAGGTGCAGATTCCAAAATAAATAGAAGCATAAAATGTGCAACACAAAGGAGCTGAGTTGAATATGAACTCTGGACATCCAGCCTTTACTTATAATTAGTATGTTACAGTCTACTGACCCCCAGTGTTTCATTAAAACTGTAATCTCCCTACTATAGTCTCAGTTATTATTTACAATTTAGTTGCTTAGTATCTTTTACAGAACTTCCAATGTACAAATAATAGAAAAACAATTACAGAATTGCTAAGAGAGATGGTGGACTGAATGTGTTCAAATGGAGACTGTCCAGAAGCTTTAATTTGAATTCCTGTTTACCAGCCCCTTCAAGTGTGGGAGGGAGAAGGTCTCACACATGTATGTTCATCCATAACATTCATACAAAAATGATGGTGTGAAGAGGTACATTTTCAGTAAAAATCTGAATAATAGGTGCTTGATTTGCCATTCAGGGCCCTGAAAAACAAACCACATAAACATATAAAAATAGGCTGTAGATATGAATCTATTAGCTCCAATTGTGCAGGAGCTCTTGTTAAAAGGTGTGCTTCTGAACATAAGCAGAGTGCTGAAAAAACACCTCTATTTTAGGTAATGCTGAATCTTTCCATCTTTGTGCATGCAATAATTTTGCTGCAGTAACCTTGTTCCAAAAACAAAGCACCGTGACTTTTTTTTCCAGTTGTTTATCAATCAGTCCCAAAAGAAAAGCTTCTGGTTTCAAAACAGCTGACCCTCTCCTGACACCTCTCAGTTTCTCTCCAGTTGTTGGATTGGACCTACAAAGATATTCAGCTACTCCAAGAAGAAAGCTAAATTGTTTTGCATGCTTTTTTTTCCTTACTGCTTTTTAAGTCCAAGCGCAAAAGGTCTAAAGTTACATTCCCCTCACTTTTACACATGTTTAAAAGTGGAACAGTTCTAGAGAAAATGTACTGAACATTTCCAAATGTGTGTGGATGCTCACACGTAACAAATCGGGAAGTCCAGTGTATTATATTTTATTTATCTGTGCATATGAATGCAGGTTAAAATGGTTAATTCAGGTTTGCTTCCTCTCCTTTTATAGCTTGTGATGCCTCAGGAACACTTTGTGCCGAAGCTACTGTATAAGATGCTTATCTTCCACTTTAACACTTTTTTTCTATTTCCCCTACTTTTTTTTCTTGCTTTCATCATACTCCTTTACTCTTCTAGATAGTCTAGTATTTAATAATTGTTGCTTTATTTGGCTCTTTTGGAAACTTTACTCCTAACACTAATGAAGATCCTGCAACTGACAATGTTTGATGCAAATATCTGGAAAGAAGGCATTTATAGGCATATTTCAATGTATTATTTGTGTGTCTCCCTATCTAATATCATTTAGAATGGACTGTGGGCAACAGAAATAGGTCTAGACAAACAGTATACATTAAGTTGCCTTAAAAAGACATCTTTGCTTTTGAACTATCTCAGTATTTCACTTTGTCTTCTTCCACTATGAACTCTGAATTAATAAAGGAGACGAAGCAGTTTCGCTCCCCCCCCCACTCCCATCTACAGTAGTTAATTCTGAAAGGAAAACAGAAATGCACCCAGGAACTTTGATTATAATGTACTATTACCCTTATCTCTGGCTACTGTCCTGAGGCTGTTGGATATACATTCAGAAAATAAGTGAAATGGTGGAACCAAATGATTACAAGAAAATCAAAGCTTTTAAAGACATTTGTAGAATGAACAGATGTTCAAATGTTCTTTTATTTGGGCTCCAGACAGACGCAGCTGAGATTTTGCTTTCATCCTGGTAATCGGTGCATTATGGTGTAATTTGTAAAAGTGGCATTAAAAATATTAACAGGGTCATATTGTGATCTACTGACTCTGTTTCATTAAGCCGTGAAGCTCCAGAATGGCAGCAAGGGAAAGGATTAAATGTTGTGGAACATGTCGCACCGCTAGCATCTGCTGCAGGAGACAATACCCGTAATTACTGCAAAAGTAAAAGGTTTGAAGCAGATACTGAGAAAAGCCAGAGAATGACAAATTGATACCAATACCCAGGGCTTAATGCAGCATCTTCGTTGGAGAAGAAGGTATCTGTTGAATGGGGTCGGGTGGGGTGACCTTTATAAAGTTGTTTCTAGGAAAGGAGTTTCTCCCCTCTGGTGGAATTTATTTAAGCTTCATTTAGGACTTGATCCCAAAGAGTTCCATTGCCAGCTCTGTTTGTCCCGGTTGGTTCATGACAATCATGACGATCACATTTAAGCTGGAGCTGCAGTTCTGTTTGTAACACTCAATAATTTTGCAGCAACGTGAATGTGACTTTTAACAACGTAGCCAGGAACACCCTTTATTTTGCCACCCCTTAGTAAAGCATTGGGGCTGAAAGGAAATCCAAATCCTGCCATATTGTGGCCTTTTATGCCCAGCTCCCTCAGTTTAAATATTTAACCGCAAATCTGTTATACAAGAGTTGCTTCCCCATCTAAGAGCCCTTCAAGATTCCCAAGGGGCAAATTGTTCTCTTATCAGCTGAAAGTGTAATACAGTTAGATCAAAGGATAGGATGTGGTAGTTCCTTTCTGCCCAGGCAAGATGCCTCTTCTATATCTGAGCCACCACAGTTGCACTTGGAAAACAAGATGTGATTAATATGGCGCCTCGGGCACTGCGTTTGTAACAAAAGCCAAGTCTTGGCTTGTACCTGTGAGAGAGAAAGGAAGGGCTCCAGTGGTCAGGTGTTGGTTATCACGGACAATGCTATGAGAACAGACTCCTAACTGCCACTCTTTAAAGCCATTCAGAAGGGGGTGTGTGTGAAACTGTATGAGCTGAAGTGGCTGTTTGAAATGTTCTGAGCACAGAACTACACACTTTGAGTTCCAAAATGTTCTCCAAACTCAGGAAAATGGAACATTTCACAATGTCTTGTTCCAGCGTGTCTCAGCTGCTACCTTCTTGTTTTTTTAATTTCTCCAAGCTTGAATGTGAGTGCAGTGCGTTTGTCACAGGCCCACAGTTAGCTCCAAAGACTTGGGAATCAGAGAGAAGATTTGAGGAGGACCATCTGGGCCTGCTGTATTGCAATTTATGCACGGTAAGAGTATAAGCTGCATTCAGTTATCTTATTGCATTTTGTTCT